TTAAGATTATAAATTATGGTGTCTGTTCCCGGAACTGGGGATCATTATAAATTGAACTTTTTTCTTGTTTAACTTTCATTACTCTTTTAATAACCTCTGAAATAAATGAGAAAACAGACCTACATCACAAATCCATTTAGTATGAGAGCTAAAACTAGAATTCAGAACTGCTCTGAAGTGTCACCGTTTTTCAGAACAGTAGGAAATAACCTCAAACTATTTTCATAAATTGTGAGGAAACTGTAGGAAAGAGGAGAAATCAATGCTAACTGAGGTACGTCAGCTGATGTACATTTTCAGCAAGTAAGAAGCATGACATAGCAAAAAGAATCCCAAATTTTTGGCTCCTTCATCAGGTTTGGCTTTTATTTTCTGCATGGAACAGTTGTGCATTTACAAGACACTAGACATTGCTATTTTGCAAGAGGATGTATTGGTGAGTGTGTGTGTGTGTGTGTGTGTGTGTGTGTGTGTGTGTGTGTATCTGTCTGTTTTCTATGGGATGCTATTCTAAGAATGAAATTTCTGTTGCATGTTAAAGGTAAGTCTTCAGTGAACCAGACATTCTCTTTCATACCTATAGTATTGTAATGGATCTTGTTATACTTGAACAAATACCATTTATGAAAAAAATTAAAATATCTATATTTAAACTATTTTGGTATCGGGGCTCCAACTCAGGACATTGTGCTTGTGAGGCAGGTGGCAGAACCACTGAGCTAAATCCCTGGCCCTATAATGAAATTTTTTAATGATGAGTCACCTATAAATTAGTAGATGGATTCAAAATAATTAAATTTTATTTATTATTTTGTACTTTGAGATATGTCTAGAAGTCTATTTAGGGCCTTTGTAAAAACACGTCTCATTTAATCCTCATAGAATTTCTATAAAGTGTACCATGTCTCCATTGCACGGATGAAGCAATGAAGGCTTACAATGAATAGTAGCTTACCTCAAGTTTATTGCCTGATTCTGTATTGGTAACTTCTCTGTCACTGGCACAAGATACTTGATACCCACAACTTAATGGTTTGTTTTGGCTTATACTTGAGGAGATTCAGTCCATGGTTTATTGGTTCCAAAGTGGAAATGGTATGGCCTGGGATATTTTGGTGAAGGAAAGCTCAACCCATTACAGCTAGGAATGAGAGAGAGTTGGGGAAGTGGGTGGGGAGGGAAGGAGCTGGGGACAAAAATACACTCTCCAGTTCACATGACCAGTGACTCACCTCTTTCAAACACTCCCACCTCTCAACAGCACATTCAGTTATGTGGATCCATTATTGATGGAGTAAATCACTGATGAATATAGCATCCCCATAATCCCAGTGCCTTCCAAAACCTCCATGTAAATTTTGGAGTCATTTTAGATCTAAAGCATAACACATACATATGAGTTCTAGCACAACACAGGTCTGCCTACCTCTAAAACTCAGGTATTCAGTCACTAAGTCCTCAACAAATGTTTTAGGGATATTCAATTTATGAAAGATATAAAATTTTTCTTACTTTTTTTGAAGAAAACATGAGGCAAGAATTCATAAGACAGTTTTCATAATATTATTTTATTGATTTAAAGTCAACCAATTCAAGTAAAGTATTACATGTGAATGGCACTTAATCTTTTGAAATATTGCTTCAAAGGCCTCAATAACTTATCTCTGTGAATTACTGTTAAGCATGTGTTCTTTGGTGAGAATAATACAGTTCAGAAGCCAGAGAGTCAGCCACACGGGATCATAACTTGTCTTCTGTTCTACCATTCCCTCATGATTGACCTAATTCTTTAAGCATGTCTTTAAATTATCTTTTGTTGACACTCAATGAAAATTCAGGAAAATAACATTTTTAATGGTAGAATAGTCCACAGTTTTAGCTTTAATTGATTGCCATTATTAATGTCACTAACTGAAGGTCATAATTTGACACTCTTCCATATGATGGCAGAATTTAAGCTAGTGTGCAAATATAGTACATTTGTGAATCACATTTGTAGTTCTATAGTATTTGTGAAATTCTCTGTAGTCTTCAGTTTTTATAATGGCTATGTAATATACTAAGGGATATTGTCCTTCTTTGAGAAAATTAGGGCTGTACAATTTGTAGGTGCACTGAAATTGTAGAATATCATATCTCAGTAATAAGGTATAATAACTATAATAAGCTAAAGGTAATTCAGCCCAAATTTCAAAATAGGGTTCTACTTAACAATAAAATTTTAAAGGTTATGCTAATTAAATGAATGTGCTTGCAGTATTTTAAGTGTATTCATTTAAGTTTGGTCTTATATTATGAGGTATTTAAATCACTTTAGACACACTTAGAAACCATACCCATTGTACATAGGAGCTGAGGACTATATTTTTATGTTCAGAGTACAATTTATATCAGGACTGCCTTTTGTGAAGTCCACCAGGAGCCCTTTCAATATTAATAGTTTGAACACATAGATATAAAATCCTAGATTCCTTGGAGAAAAGGCACACTTTGGTTTTCTGTGAGAATAAGGCTAACTCCAAGGAGTAATTAAGAAAGAGAAAAAAAAAAACTGAAGCTCACTGATCAATAAGAAATCATCTTGAAACTGAACAACTCAGCTCAGCTGCTAGGATTATATTTTTAGGGAAATGTAGTTTGATTTTTTTTTTAATCAACCCATGTGTCCACCCACACAATGTACTGTAAATCAAAGATCTCTTTAACATATGATTTTTTCCCTTTTAAAGAAAAGGCATGTGTTGAAATATTGCTTTTGAGAGTAAGGAAGAGTAAAAAAGATTAGCATTCTTTCTGCAAGTAACTTCATTTTAATGAAATAAATGTAAACTTTGGTGCAGTTGCAAAGGCACACACACTGACTGACACAGAGATACAAAACTCATGACAAAGGAATGTAACTGCTACTGTATTTCAGCTCAGATATTACTTTTCCACGAACAGAACACAAGCAAACTGTTTATTAACTTTTCGTAAAGCCTTTAATTGCAGTTAATAGATTTTGACAACAGACTCATGGAGCAAGCACCTTAAATAGATGGTTTATTGTTAGGAATAATGTATTTAGCAATGTCTCTGCTACTTTCGGGAGAGAAGGTTAAGGAAGAAAAGGATGAGGGGATGAGAAGGAGAGAAAAATTAGGGCTCACACCTTTATTTAAATTGCAATTTGCCTCTTAAAATAGAACTTCAACCCAGTCCTCCTATAAGTACCATGAGATTATGTAGGATTCTGGCTTTAATTAATAGGCCTGAATATAGTTGAACTGAATTAAATAAACTCCTTTTCTGAGATGTGTATTATCAAACCTGTGCTGAACTGAGACAAGAGATTAGAAAGGACTAGCACAAGGGATTTCTTGGGAAATCCATGCTGCCCTCACATACCTTTCTCTCTGATTATTCAAATGATAATGTGCAGGGCAGGGAGAGAAGAAGAGGATATCAAGGTGACCTTCATGCCTATAATAAATTATCCAACAAATGAATAATATTCTCCATGAAGCAGACGCAGCATTTGCAAAGAGCAAGAGTGAAATAAAGCAGAGGAGAAAATGTGTCTCCATTCGGGATAGCAACCTGGTATCTACTTCCATGACAGTTCATTTGCTTCTCATCCTTTCTTTGCTTGTTCAGTACTCATACAACAAGGAAGGGAAGTAAAGCAAGCAACATGACAATCTCCCTGAGAATGCATTTCCCCATTTTCTTCCATTTAGAATACAGGATCTATCATATTCAGTTGAACTAAATATATATCCTGCTGTTAGCAAGGCTGCATGTCACTTGTGGTGATATGTACAGAGACACTTGATACATCAGTCAAGTTTGTTTTTTTTTTAAAAGCATTGAGTTTGAAGTTAAAAGCTTAGAACTTGAGTTCCAAGTCCTATTTTCAACTGAATGATTTTGAGTGCATTACTTGACTTCCCTGAGCCTTGGTTTTCTCACCTGTAAAACTGGGATATTACTAATTGACATTGTGATATTATTGCCATTGTCATCTTTTAATAGTATTTTAAGGATCTTGCTAAAAATGTGTAAAGAGATTTTATAAACCCCAAACTGCTCTATAGTTGTTCACTATCATTATTTTAAAATCGCCAGCATAGATAGAATGTGTTATTCTCAAGTTATTTTTTTGTCAAGCTGACCTTTCTGGAATTTTGCAACTTTAGAGAAATGGTAGTGAACTAGAAAAGCAAAACCTAACCACTGTCCTTTCTGGAAGTCTCGCTATACCGATGGAGAATCAGCTGCCTCTCCTGGGAAGATCACACACTGTTGATAACAATAGCCAGTTGGTGCTACTTTGGATTAAGAATGAAGAGTATGGTGGTAAAAAGAACCATTCTCTTAGCAGTCAGAGCTCAGTTCATAAATTTAATTGAACCTAATGTACAATATTAGAATTATGACTTCAAATAATACTCACATAGTGACTATAGAAAAAGAAGTTTATTGGGTAATAAACCATATAACATCAATCATATGCATTTTATATTGGTTGTATTATGTGATTTTATTTTTTTCAAAATAGTTCATAAACTAGGAAAAAAAAAAACCAATCCTTTGAAATACTAACCCTCTATCTAATAAAGGTTGTATTGGCTGGCATAAGAAACCCTTGTAAATTAATTAGCAGATTGATAAGCATCTGTTCTGGCAGAGCTTAGTGCATGAACAGAAAATAAGGCATCATATTATTCTGTATAGTAGTTAAGGACATGGAATTTTGGAAGTAGATTGATCTTGGTTCATATCCAACCCAGCCACATCAGATCTATTTGAATACTATTAGCCTTAATTTACTAAAACAGTATGAGCAAGGCTCATCGAGAGGACAAAATGTGGTAAAAGCTGAAAGGCATCAGAAAATTATTCCTCATAATTGAATTGTATATTACCACCTATTGCTAATAACATTACTCCACATTTTGCAGGCTCAAAACAATAAACATAATTACTGTGCAGGTTATCTAAGTCAGGCATTTGGGGACAGATATCTAGGTATCCTGACTTGGATCTGTAATGAATATGTAGTTAAGATTTTTCTCAGGAAAAAAAAAAAAAACCACAGATTTGGTCAGGATTGGAGAAATGTGATTCTAGACTACATTTGGAGCACCCACTTCCAACATGGCTTGCTCACAGGTGCTCGCATGAGGCCTTAGTTCATTGTAGGCTCTTAGCAGAAAGTCTCATTCTTGTTGCATGGACATCTCCAGAAGGTTGCTTGAGGGTCCTCAGAACTCGGCAGCTGGCTTCTGCCAAATCAAGTGATACAAGTGAGAGTGAGATGCTAGTCACACTTTTCCTTATGATCTGGTATTTGAAGTCACACCTCCCATGATTTCCATCATGTCCTGTTTGTTGTTGTTGTTGTTGTTTTATACAAGTCAGCTTTATTTGATGTAGAAAAGATTGGCTACCCAAAGCCTGACTATTAGGAGGCAGGGATCATTAGTCTATCACTTGTGGTGAGTATGAGATCCTAGATCCAGCACAGTGTATTTCAAATGGGCTTTTGGCTAAAAGTGCCTCACCTCAAAGCACTGAAAGGAAGTAAGAGAAATGGTGTGTGTGATATGAGAAAGAGGGACCCAAAGAAAGATGCAGATAAAAAAGATCCTCCTGTTAATATAGAACTGAAGGAGCTGAAGCTTCTTATTTATTTTATTGTGAATTTAAGATTTAAGTGAGAATCTTTAGTTCTTTTGGGGTAGGTAAGTTAATTAATAACCAAGTTTTTCTGTCTTGAAAATATCTTTTTAAAATACCCCAAATGAAAGAATTTTAAGTACTTTTCTTCCTTTTCTTTTTTTTCTGGGATTGTGGATCGAATTCAGGATGCTTCACTTGCGAGTCAAGCGCAGTGCTACTGAGCTAAATCCACAGCCTCTAAACACTCTTGAACCACTCAAAGAGATCATTTCTCTTAAACAAACATCATTGTCAGGTGAACAAGCTCAAAATTCTCCATAGGAAATGAATCTTACATGGCAGAGTCAAATGTTAGTGCACAAGTGTTATTGTACCCAGAGATAAAGTATTTTCCTTATTAAATATTTTTTATTTTTCTTGGATCTGTTGTTATAATGGTACTTCAGAATATTTTATTTTAAGTGGTGGTAGATATGACAAGGCTAAACAAGAAACCCAAGGGCCTCATGTGATCCTTCTTGGACCAGAATGGGAAGTAAAAAATACTTGAAATAGTGTTTTTCTTTGTTCATCATAACATTTACTAAACACTTATACCCTGTATGTTCTAGGGACCAACGAATGAGTCTGGAAGAGCCCATGTCTGCAGGCTCCAACTCTGTCCACCGTTTTCTAGCTATAGTGTCTTGAACAAATTCCTAACTTCTTTGTACCTCAGTCACTTCATATGGACAAGCCTCTGCTATGGGTTGGAAAATGTGGAATATCTTATCACAAAATTATATATAAGTAAATAAACACAATTTATATGAGTTGAAATCCAGCAAGAGAGGTTGACATGGTTGTAACTAATTCTTATATACATGCCACAATGTTACAGCAGCTTACACAAAATGCAGTGGTTGCATGAAGTAGAAAGCAATCACTTTCAAAATGGGACATGTTGGATAAATGCCTTGGAGAAGGAAATTTGATCTGAGTCTTAAGGATGAGTTGGTATAGGCAGACGGTAATGGGATAAAAGCACTCAAAACAGCGGGGAGCAACAAGAAAAATGTATGGACGAAGGGAACATTCCCCCATGTGACATGAGTGGAAAATGCATCAGTATTCCTGGAAGACAGGCTGGAAGACCCACAGGACAGTGGGGAGAGAGCCTGGGGCTGAGGACTTTGGACATTAACATTCAGAGCTATGCACATTTTTATTAACAGTGTTGGAAGACGTATTGAGCTCTTTCTTTGAATATTTTGTGTTAGTTCTGGAAATGCTGAGAAAATGTCACATGAATAAACCACAAAGAACTGTCAAATCAGTAAGGCCATCTAACTTAGGAAACGACTGGGAGCCAGTTTTGCACAAACTAAATTTGTGTCTACCTTCAGGGTTTGTCATATTGGCTGCTATGAGCTCAAAGGACTCACGCGAGCAAGAATGATGGGCTTTCTTGGAGTGGGTGCAAGGAAGGATGATATCCTCAACCAGGAGTGCTGGAGAAAGTGCGAAGAGGAAAATGGAGAAAGCTTATTAAATTGTTTTGCCCAGATTTGGGAGACAGACAGGCTTCACATTACATAGTAATTTAGTTATTTACTATCTGGCCCAATCTGTGTAATATTACACAGGCCAATCCTTTGTAATATTAAGAACAGACTTTTTATCTAAGAGAAGACTCTTTTCTCAGACAGTGCACTGGTAAGAGTGATAAGTTTTAACGAAAGACACAGGAGGGAGAAGTATAGCCAAATGCAGGAGTTTCATGGTGCTTGACGGAATGACAGATACCCTTCACATGCAGTTGCTTATATTTTCTTTTTCTCAGCTTCTGAAAACAGCTCAGGAACGAGCTGTTGCACCTCTTCTGTGCTTTGATAGCTCTGACAGCAACACAGGGAGGAACTTCAGAGCAAGGAGACTCAGAAGTGAAATCTTCACTCCTCGGTTTTTCATCTACAAAAGAGGAGTTTTTATAGACTTAACTGTAATAGTTCTTGGAACATATCTAATTATGAGATTGGTTGACTTTATTTAATGTTAGATCAGCTGCAAGCAGATTTATTTTAAAGAATATAGCAAAACAGAATAACATTACTAAAGAAATTAGAGGACAGTGAAAACTAGGGGCTCATCGCATCAAGAAGTAGAGAAGGCCATCGTTCCCAGTCTTGGATGTGGACAGCAGTGTCCAAAAGAAGAGTGGAGCCTAATATGCTCTGGAGCCAAGGCCCGACCTTAGTCCTTTGAATCCCTGTGTCACTGTGAAGAACAGCAGGGTTGATCAAGCCAGAGGCAATCCCAGAAGGGGGTCTGAATGGAGTGATTCTTTTTAGGATCCTGGCAAGAGGAATGGATTGGTGGGGATGGGGTAGAGGTGGTGAGTGGGAAGTTGGGTGGATGGGAAACAGCCTGGAAAAGAAGGCTGCCGAGGAAGGAAAAATATGAAAATATTTTGCCCATCTCACTGCTTCTCATACAGCCCCTTCATAATGGCAGCAACAGACATGTGTTGCCTTAAGGTAGTCACTTTATGAGCCATGGAGGTGTTTGAAAATTATTGTTGCAATAACAGCTGTATGTATTTTAGATTCAAGGATGTCTGGGTCAAAGTAACTCCTGAGAATTGTAGAGTGTGGAAATAGTACATTTTCTGGGAAAGATTCAGCTATTTAGTACCAACCTCATCACCAGGTCCAGGGTCACCACAAAACTGCTCTTCAATTTTGCCTTTTGAATATGCAAAATGGTCACTTAAACTAGATCACTGCGGCCTCTGAATACTTTTTTTTAATTAATTAATTAATTTTTTTTTAGTACTGGAGATTGAACTCAGGACCTTGTGCTTGTAAGGCAGGCATGGTGCCACTGATCTAAATCCTTGACCCTTCCTGAACACTATTAAGCTTGTTTTTAACTTTTTTTTTTTATTTTTCAGTTTCAAAATGTGATAAAAAAGGTAAAGGAGCTCTTTCCTACATTGTTTCTGAGTGGTCACGTTGCATTTCCAGCTCCCTCTTCCTTTCATTTGCCTCATTGCCAAGGTCCTATTATATTTTCCAGTGAATTTTTGTTTATTTCTGACATCTTCCATTATACTGAATTTAGAAAATTAAAATAGAAAGTTTAAAAGGTTATCAAAATTGAACCCTCAGAAATAACTAAACATATGTCACAACTCATTTTTAGTTTTGTTACTAGTTATTAGCTATGAGGCTGGAAGCATTCTTAGACCTGGCCCACTGGGGTACACACACAATGGTTTTGTAGAAAAGAAGAAGGAGCTGTATGAAGCTGTATGGAGAGATTTTAAATATTCACAAAGGTAAGTTTTAGATAACATTGAATTGTCCACGGTGACTGAATTCACTTGCATCAGAAATGTAAGGGTTCTATACCTTCTAATCCTCACCAACACTTGGGTTTTCAAACATATATTTTGGACAATTGGACAGATACCTAGGACAATTGTGATTTAAGAAGTTGTTAGTTTTTTCATCTTTTAAATTTTATTCTTTGTGTGATTTGCTTTTTTGAAGACAAGTTATTTGAATCTAGTTTCATAGAGTGTATTTTGTTTAACCTACTTTTATTTTAATCAAATGTATCTTATTTTATACTTAGATTTATATTTTGTATCCATTTATATATCTTTTTTATTCATTAAAATATATTTTTTGAACTGTGAATCCTCCACATTCTTTTAAAAATATCTCTGAAGATGTGGCTGTTAAATAATACTTAAACTAATATATATCAAGAAAATACAAGGTCAGTTTCACTGATATTTTTAAAATTATTGGTCATACAAAATAGTTGTGGGTCATAATAATTGTATATTTGAAGCCTTTTACACTATTGCCTGAATTAAGAACTTATTTTTACCTCAATCAAATATATATGTATGTTATGTGTTTGTTTCAGGATATTGGATAAGGAAGATGCATATATTTGAGCAGGATAGTAGTGGTACTTGATTTTATTACAATTAGTTATATTCAAAACAATTTGAAGAATATAGGCTCTTTTTTTCTATAAAAATGATAAAGTTAACATGTCTCGTACCTGTTACCATTTCCCTACTTCCTTATTTTTATTACTAATAACAGATTTGAGATACAATGACTGTTATTAATGCATTATTTGTATCTGATACAAAATTTTGATATTTTCACAGTATTATATATAATATGTAATGGATCGTCTTGTTTAACTTGATTAGTTTAAAGTTCACCACCTGCTGTTGTTACCATAATTATCTTATTATTGAATTTTAAATTATATTTCCCTTCAAGTTTGCTGAAGTTTATCTCTCTGAGTAATTTTTGAGGAAAATAATTATTATTTGATATGATTAAACCTGAAAACTGTAGCGGATATCTTGAATAACTAATAAACCCCCAAATATCTGTCTATCTTTCTATTATTTGCAGATGTGTGCATATTCGTCGTCAGTCTAAGGTGTAAACAATGTTCATTTTTAGTAGCATGCACTTCAAGTGTATGCCATACTTTCAAATATATTAATAAATTGAAATGCTTTTAAACAACTCAATAAAATATTTTAAGGTACCAATAATTTGGCAAACATTACTATAGGATCTAAGACTATAAGCGATTCATAGAAATATATGGGAGAGATTCCATTTCTACAGCTCAATAAGATAGTAGCAAAGAGGATAGAATGTCAAATCCATCTCTTTGAACACTTATTTCTGACACTATTCTGAATTCTCTAAGAATGCAGGAATCATTTAAGGTTCCTTGAATTCCTAACATATAGGTGCTATTATTATCCTCTTTTTACATTTGATGAAATGGTGGAACATATGATTAAAAAATTTACTCAAATTAAAAAGAAGAGCTAGAATTTAATATCATGTAATCTAGTTAGAAAATTAATATTTTAAACGTATTTATAGTACTGCATTTTAAAATTACTCAGGAATTTATTTCCATAAAATTTAAATTAATGAAAATATGTAAATAACATCATTTAAATTTATATTAGTGGGTTGAGCTGATAGATATATCTTATGCTACAAATATGTAGAAATTCCTATTAAACCACAACAAGAAATAAAAACAGTTGTTTATTTTTCAAAAAGTGATATTTTTACATGCCAGAACTTAAAAACAGACAAGTAGTAAAGCTAGAAGCATAAAATCTGTGGGAGGTTTATGGAGCACCAAGTTGAGGCCTTAGGATGGCTGCGTTTTCATGAAAAGTTGATGGCACACTCCCTCTTTGCCAGCCAGAGTAAAGGTGAAAAATGTGTGACTTTTTTATTCTGAATAGGGAAAACAGCCACAGTTACTCTGAGAAACTGTTATGATGTAAGAATCACAAGAGATGACATTAGGGTAAATCTGGTACTAACCAGAGAATTGCCTCGGGGCCCCTTTGAAGATACTTCAAATATATGAACTAATTCTATATGATGAAGACTTGTATTATCTATCACAAATATATACTAGTAAAAGTATTTTCAAAAAAGGATGCAACGGAGCATTTGTATAACATACAATAAAAAAATGCCACAGTGACTTATAATCTACAGTTACTGTTACAAACCACACATTCCACAGCAAGATGTGAGGCAAAGAACCCAAGAAGCTCTAAAAATAGAGCAATATGATGGACTTTAAAAATTTGTTTAAAATAATATTAAAGACGGTAAGATAATACAAATCACAATGAGAAAATTAGTTATTATGTTAAATTCCAGGTGTATTGAAAGCAAAATTATAAGACATTATTAAATAATAATAAGTAGATTAAATTTGATATCTTGAATATATCTCAGTAAAGTTTTTATTTAATATAGAGACAAACTTGAAGCAATATATTCTAAATACTAAATATAATGAAGATATCCAATAAAATATAGTGTTTACATTAAAAAATTAAACATTTTGGAACACAAAGAGAGAGGAAAAACATGAAAGAGGTTAAAATTTCTTTGTTCATTTTGCAAAAGGTATTAATTGAGCACCTGCTAAGTGTAGATAATGGTTTTAGTATGGTAACAAACATAATGGAAAGGGAAAACAACAAAAAAAATGCCCCTTTTGGAATGTACTTATTATGGTGAAAACAAGAGAAAAATAATTTTCACAACTAACGCATGCAGCATTTCAAAGAATAGTAGGACCTGGGATTTATCTCTGTGGTTCTGCTGCCTGCCCCTCAGACGCAAGGTCCTGGGTTTGATCCTGGTACCAAAAAAAAAAAGAGGGATAAACTCAAAGAATAATAGCAACTTTACCCTGGATGATAGCAAATGTGGATGAATTGCTAGTTATTCTGGTGACAGTTTGGTTGCGTCATTGACCAAGTTGTTCACCAAGAACTGATATTGGAGCAAAAGTCTGACAAAAGGAAGCAGGAGTGATGGAGAGAGCTCGAGAAAGAGCTCTGAAGCAAAGGACGAGTTATGGGGGAAGAGTTGTCACGTAGGAGGATTCACATTGGATGGATGGACACAGCGGTGGGATAAAAATAATCACGGAGGTAACTTGGGGTTGTAAAGTTTAGAGGACTGAAAGGACTTTCCCTTTTTCTTAATGTGACATGATATATTGGTCACTTTCCCATGGCTGGAACAGAACATCCGACACCCACAATTTAAAGGAGATGTTCATTTATAGTTTCGAGTGGATTCAGTCCGTGGTGGGCTGGCTCCAAGGACAACGTGGGATGGTGGGAAGGCATAGCCAATGAAAACCACTCAAACGGTGGCAGGCAGGAAGTAAAAAGAGAAGGGAAATGCCCTGAATAAGAGTACACCCTTCTAGATATCGCCCTTAGTAACCTGCCTCCAGCAGCTCCTCATGTGACCAGGCCCCACACTGAGTGTTGGGGTACGTTTTAGACTTAAAGCATTATAAATGTGAATCTGTTGGAGTGTTTCAAGTATCCATTACATGATTGAAGAAAAACATCATCACCAGGTTTTCTTATGACCAAGAATTTGTGAATAGTTTGTAGGGATAAAAATGGGGGGAAACGTAAATGAGAAATCTGTTACAAAAATTATGATACTGTGGACCAGAGCACAGTATTAAAAATAAGCAACTAGCCTCTGGATGTAATCTTAAAGATAACATCAAAATGTTCTTATAGATTTAATATAGGTTTTAGAAAAAGAAACAACAGGATGATTTAGTATAAATATAATAATATGAGGGAATAGAAAGAATGGATAAGAAGCAACATTTAGAAAGATTTGGGCTAAGAATTTTCCATTATAGTTGTGGAAACATTAGTTCTTATATTAAAGAAACATATCAACTGTTAAAGGAACACACAATACAAAGTAATGATACTGTAGAAAACCAGATAAGTCAAATAGATTTTAGTCAATCAAAGAGAAAAGGTGATTATGTTATAAAGGCATGAAAATTAAACTGGGAACAGACCCAAGCACAAAAGGGATGCTTGATGATTACAGTATAATATCTTTTTAGAGATTTCATAGCTGTTGATCTGGATTCAGTGCATGAACAAATTAATACTGAATAAAATGAAGATATTTCCAGACAAAAATGATTGAGAAAATATGCATCACTGATATTATTTACTAAAAGACAGACATTTTAAAATCAGGAGAAATGTCTAGGGTAGTAGAAGTAAAATATATTCATAATCAGGAAATTAAAACAAAACAAATCCTGATGAAAAAACATAACTAATGATAGCATAATTAAAACAAGGCACACATGCTATTTTAAAGAATGTTTTAAAAATAATGTGTTATGATCAATAAGAAAATAAAAATGAAAGTGAGAGCAAAAACTACAAATATTTGTGGAAGATAGAATACCAAATTTAAACAAAGTTTTTCAGTGAGGAGAAAAGCCTAGACCAGTGACGATGAATCTATGGCATGTGTGTTATTTTTTTTTTAAGACAAAATAAGTTAATTTGTGAATGTTTTTTCTAAACCAAATCCTGAATGTTCAGGTTTAACTGCAGTGTTGGCACTCTACTATAAATAAGTGTGCTTTGGGTTGCAGTATGGGTTTCTGAAAAGGTTCATCATCACTGGACTAGAGCATTATACTGGGCACATAATGGAACTTGATCAGTTTTCTCCAATGCAAAAAAAAAAAAATCTATACATTTCTATGACATTAATGGACCAACATGTATTGTAGATAATATAAAATAGGAAGAAATAGTTCAAAAGGAAAAGGAAACTGTGAAAGGGGTGGGGGGAGAAAAAAAATTTGAGAAAAGGGAAAAAATGGACACAAAGCCTTAGGAAATAAGGAGAGAAGGGGAATGGGAGGAAAAGAGGAATCAAGCTGTCATGTGTAGGAACAAACTCCTTTTGGGGAATGTGACGGCTGTGTCTATTTAAATTGCATCAATAAAAATGTTGAAGAATACTTAAGTTATGAGGAAGTTTATGAAACATAAATAATAAAATATTGATTAACAGTGCTGGAGGAAAGTGTAAATTGTCTCCCTATCATCGACATAAAACATTACAAAATCATTATTTTAAATATATCAAATATATAAATAAATAATATATATATAAATAATAAATAATAAATATATAAATAATGATATAAATAATAATAAATATAAATAATAAATAATAAATATATAAATAAAAAATATCAAATATTGCCACGTGAGGGTGAAGAAGAGTTAGCAAAACCAAAAGTTTAAAGGAGGGAAAGGGAAAGAGTAAGACATCAGGATGAACAGAAATGGTATCTGAAAACACAGGCAAGAAACGAAATACACTTGAGAACTGATAAGAATGCTGGATTGTAGTAAATGGTCAATGGCACATTTAACTCTGGTGAATGGGAGGCCTTTCCTCAAACCTCACATCCTGGTCATCAGCTCCGTAATGAAGACACTGAGAAACCTGGTGGCCAGTAAGGGCCCTCTGACTTGTGGACAGCACCTAGACCTGGCTCTTTTTCATTGTTACAAAAAATATATAAATAAAAAATATCAAATATATACAGCAAGGAAAATAAAAGTTAAAAGTAGCATAAATAGATACATATTCTGAAGGTACTTAAAATACATGCTTGTTTTCAAGATTTTTGTCATTTCCTTAGTATTTGCCAAAAATTTTTGGAAAAATGTGAGCCTTAGGACTTCTTTCCTCAATATCTAACCACGTATTTGAAATTTTATATTCTCTTTTATAATGAGAATGTGCTTTGAATCACACAAACCACTTCATTTCATAGAATTTTGATGATTATCAAAGAATGCATGTAAAACATGGAGGATGAGCATGGCACTTTGAAAATTATAATTGCATATGAGTTATGAATATTGCTGTGTAAAAGTATTATTGGGAAATGATTTCTTCAAATGTAACGACCTTATGAAATAACTATTTATGTCATATCTTGCATGTTAGAAAAATTATAGTCCCCACAAAAAGATGTATTGAGCCACACTTTCAGCTGAGAGATTCTCCCTGCTGCAGATGATCCTGCAGGTGACTGAGAAACCACCCGTCTACTGGGCAAAAATAATTTAAAAAGTTTTCCAATTCAGATAGGAGATTAGAATAACTTACCTTTCACGTCACTTCTAAAAGTATAACATCACCATAATGTGTTTTGTGACTGCATCTTGTTTTCTTGGTCTACAGAAATCCTCTCCAATATCAAGGTTCTGGAGCTGTGAGGCCAGGGTTTTGGAAATGATGGGAGAAATTGCGCTTCCTTTAGGGACCTTTGTAAACAGGCATAGAAGGGCAGCTTTAAGGGAAGTTTAAACTAAGAATTGAAAATGTCTGATTTAAACTTTGTTTAAAATTCTGTGAAGTACAAGCATCAATTATTTCTTGATCAGAACAGGTTCAATCATTCTTTAAATAATACTCTGTGTCAGCGCTTAATTTTTTCAGCTAAATACCTATCTAAAAATAATGGAGGAATTTCATAAATTGATAAATCACACACCTATGAGATATGTGCAGCAAATCTACCCTGAACCTGAGCCTGCAGTTTATATGCATCTGCTTGCTCTCCTCTCTGAGGTACATGCCAGCCAGAGAAATGCCTGTTACACAGTTAGGAATATCTGTCATTCCACAGGCAGTTAGTGTGACTAGAAATTAATGTTAGATGTAGATTCCGGTAGGGGTGTCATAGTATGTACCTTGGAAAGAATCCAGTTTCCTTTCAAAAATCTGCAAGATGGCTAAGGAGCATTACACCACTTGTTTTCGTGGAGAAGGTCGCTCTTTAGAAGAAGGTTGGGCAGAGCTTTGTTGTTACAAGTTTGGGTCATTTATTTTCTTCTTTTGACCTTTGCAAATCTTCTCTTTTTAAAATACATTCTGTGATGCTCCAGTTTGATTACTAAATTACAAAGAAACCAGTATTTGTGTATTTGAAGTCTTTCACACTAAAAATGTATGAGAAGATAATAACTATAAGAGAGAAAAGATGGAAATATCTCACAGCAGAGGTGAAACTTTTGGCAACACAGACAATATTTTTCATATTCTCTGGCAGAAATAGGGCATTTTCTCCCCATCGTGCATTTCCTACATCATAAAAAATGTTTTATAAATCCTTTTCTTCTCAGATCTACTTTTTCATTGGCTCTGCTCACTGAGTCATGCAACAAATTTATCAAATTGTGTAAAATTTCTGATAGGCAGTTGGGCAGAAACCTGATCAGATAACTGCTGTATAGCATTCTGTTTTGTCTTCCTCAATTTCAATTTCCTATATCTCTCATTAATATTTATTAATTTATCAAAGGTACTAACACATTTGGGTCTCAATTACTGTACCTGACAACACATGAAATCTAATGATTTATTAGACCCAGTTTCTTCTTTCATTTACTTTATCTCAGCTAGATAGACCGATACACAGCTATTATACTCAATATGAAGAAGGCGGGCAGCAAAAGGTGTCTGGGAATCACCTAACAATCAATCCGATCAAGACACACATTACAGGAAATCATATGGTGGCATAGACTTGGACCCATATAATGCAGAAACGTAGCTTGACTTTTTCTATATCTTGACAGTTTTTAAGGCTCCATCTAATTGGTGGATAATGAAAAATTAATGTCAGTTTATCTGTGGATTGTGCAATAATTTTTCTTCTGAATTTTCTTGTATCCCAGAAAATGTATTCTGTAATAAAGCACGTGAAGTTGAAGTTCACTGTCTCCTCTTTGCCATGTAATCACATATACATGGTGAGACCGCATTGTCCAGTCCAGTGACTGGTCAGAGATACATACAAAATCCCCTGATGTTCTGGGCATAGTAGAACGTACTGATAATCCTAGAACTCTGAGAGGCTGACACAGGAGAATTGCAAATTCGAGCACAGCCCTGGCAATTAGCAAAATCTTGTCTCAAAAATAAAAATACAAAAGATAATGGAGGTAATAGTTGATGGTGGGAGTAGGCCATACTTTCTTGGCTGGTAAGTTTTGTACTGGGATTCAGGCTCTCCTGTTAATGCTGGCTTGGTGGGGCCGTTTACATTGCTGTCTGATTATACTTTTCATAATTTTTATTACATAACTTCTCTGCTTAAAAATGTTGCTTTATCCTTATGCTTTTTTCGATGCCTTGTTATCCTACTTAGATGAATATAACAAATTTGAAATTGTTTCTCTAGTTTTAAACTGTTGCTAGATTAAGCTCTCTATTGTCCTGGCATGCAAGGCTTCCCGTGAACACTTCAAGGACTAGTCCTAGGTACTATAGAAGTAACTAAGCGGGTCTGGGTGTTCAGACCTTGTACATTACTCTAGGTCCTTAGAAATCCTGGCTGATAGGAATATCTTTTTTTTTTTTTTTTTTTTTTTAAGAAGTGCCTGTGTATACCTGAGAGCGCTGGCGCAGGCTGGAGAGTCTCTGCTAACAGTGTGATCTCTGGTAGCTGCACTGCGCCATGTTCTATGAGGAGGGCAGAGAGACTGGGTAACAAAGGGCAGTCAGACACAGACACTCTGGCCTATGCAACACTCGATAAAAACCATGAATGTGAGGCTTGAGTGAGCTTTCCTGGTTGGCGACACTTCATATCTGTTGTCACATGTTGTTTCTAGGAGAGCGAAGTGCTGTTCCAAATTCCAGTGGCAGAGTACAATGGAAGCTTAGTCTCTGTTGGATTCTGCCCATGGATTTTTTTTACTCGTACTGATTAAATACGTATCCTTTTGTTATAGTAAATTGAAATCATAAGTGACCATTTTTGTGAGATCTTTGAGTTCTTCTAGCAAACTTCTGAAGCTAAAACTGGCTTAGAATTTCACATTTCCCCCATATACCCAGATTTTTTTCACCCAAAAGTACTGATTTACTTATTTAATACATATTCTGGACATTTTTGTGACCAGGTATTTGTTTAGCCTATTTTAAAAAATGAATTGTAGTAAAGAAAATATAATAACATATCAAAGGCAAACAAGTAAATAATTTACATTTCCAAGTAACAGAGCCTGAAATTTTTTTCCATAGGAAAATAAATAAATGAATGAGGATAGTAGAATCACAAGATAGTCTATTTCAAATTCTAGACTGCTGTATAACCTTAGAATTTTGAGTTGTTTTGGAACATTCTCTCATGGGATTTTTGCTATTCAAAAATCAGTTTTAATATTAACATAAGGTGTTTTGGCAAAACTCCCAAACCACTAGCAATGTCTTTAATTTTTTAAATCTAAAACTCTTCATGCTTTCAATTTTTTAAGTTTATCACCTGAATCAACGTGGATTCTGTCCAGTTGTTTGGCTTTTCAGATTAGCAAACATGTTCTTCTGACACCATGAGGAATTTTTTGATTCTTGTCTCAGATCCATACACGATTTCTTTTTAAATGATGGAAGTTGTACAGAAGTTGAAGAAGAGAGTAAGAGTCTCAGACTTAACAACCCTTGTGGCTGTGCAAATCTGATCCTTGGATGTGTTTTTCCCTTGGGTGACAAAATACATGCCTATTTTGTTGCATAGGTTCTCTCTGGTGAAGTGAATTTTAAGTATTCCCTATACAACTATGAATAATTGAGGGCTGAAAATTTTTATGCTTTACTCAAATGTATTTTCATAGGAAAGATGTGTAGTTTTCTGCGTACAGGAAATCCCAGTTGTTGCAAACAAGATATAATAACATATCAAAAGAAAACAAGTAGATAATGTACATTTCTAAGTAGTAGAACCTAGAAATTTGCAGGTTTATATTAGAAATTCTTCAAAATCAAAGGCCTCATGAAGGACAAAGTGTGGAACAAAAGCATACTGAAGATTACACCAGTATGTCCAGTATAATTGTGAAAGTTAAGACTACTTGGGAAAATTCCTATTCTATTGAAAACTTACTAAAACAAAGAGAGTAGTGAAAGGAGAAAAATGAACTTAGTTCTTTTAAATTATGGAGGGGAAGCTGAAAAGCAAAAGCTTCTAGGACATGTGTTTCTTGGATTAACAGGGGCAAGTCCAGAGAGTGATGAGGACAATTTCTTTTCTGGGACCATTTTTGATGCTGTTTTTTGCCCTGTCTTTCCAAAGAACTGTTTTCTGCTTTCTTCTATTGATAAGTCTTTTGACCACTTTGAACTATGCCTGACTTTAAGTAGCACTGAAAGGGAGCATCATACACTTAGGGACATGAACTCTGTATGTGTGGTGCGACCATGTGTATTTGTGTGTGCCTGCTTAAAGTGACACAAGCAGGAGCGGTGCTTAAAAACACCATTTGCAAAACAATTTGCTATTCCATACTCAACAAGTTTTTGTTAAGCATTAATTGTGTACTAGGTATATTAATAAGCTGTAGACAGTATTGGAATGTTAAAGGTAGACAAGATCTGTATCTCCGAAGAGTTTAGCATCTAGGCCTTAGAACACAGCAGAGCTAGGTTCCAGGGGTTATATTTTCAGGGGAACTATTTTATTGCTTTCACAGCATATTGGCAATTGTCTAACGGGCTGAGCTAAAAGTCACATTTTCATAAAAAATCCCATTTCTTTGCACTGAGAGCATTAAGGATTTAGGTAAAGCCATAAACATGATCAGCGCAGCAAGCTGTACCAAAATGCATAGTAATGGAGGCCACAGGGAAAGCTTAAAATGCCATTGATTTACTGTGCACACAGGCATCCCAATATGTTAAGAAAGCAAAATGGAGGCAGACTATAAGAAAATGAGGCAAATCACATTCCACGGGCAATCAGAAGCTCCTCCAAACAGACTGGTCCCATACCTACTTAGGATTAGGGAGCTTGGTGAAATGTGATTCAGGTAACAAGGGACAGAAGGGGCTCAGGACCCAGGGAGAGATATGAAAATTTTTTGCCTGACATAATGGTCTTTCCAGATCTGTTGTGAAGTGAGGTGGGCGTCTCTTGGTGGCAAGCAGGTTCATGACAAAACTGTTTTATGACTTCCTGTGCTACTTATTTTGTGTTGTTCCCTGCATGTTTCTCTCTAGTCCTTAATGCTAAAACTCCTAAAATGGAAAAAACAAAACCAAACAAAACAATTTCCCTTTAGAAGTAACAGGATATTAAATTGCCTGGTGTATGTATAGTATCTTCTTCCTTCCTCTTGGGAAATAAAACAAAGAAAAACAATAGACAGGGACTACTTTCAGAGCTTATACTCACGGATATTTGCAGGGATGAAGTAAACTAAACAGGGACTCTGAACTGCATTTGTGAAAACCCCCAAGTTAGTACTGCACTTTGTTCCATACTCCACTTACTCCTGTAAATTGTTGTGTGTTTGTATGAATTCCTTTCCCTTTTCCCACACCCAACTCTCTGCTTCTGTATGTTATTTTCTGACCTGGTGAGAATGACACCTTCTGTCATTGGAAAGCCTCTTGTGTTGACAGGATTCCAGTTGGATTTGACCAATAGAAGGCTATAGCCAGAGATTGGAAAGTGAAAAAAGAATGAATGCAAGTATTTTCTTTCAACTTCCTTTCTTTTCTGGGCCACATACAGTATTAGCTGTATGTCCCTCTAGGACTACTACTTTTACTAGATGACTCCCTGGCAAGAGTCCAGGTTTGCTGGGCTTAGTTAATATTATTTCCTCTCCTTGCCTTTCCATGCTCAAGAGAGTGGTGGTGGCTTTTCACTATTGTTCATTTCTAGGTTCTGCACCCTTCTTGTTGGTGCCCTGATTCTTATGCATGACCTTCAATAAAGTCTGAATGGGAATTCACAGCTTGAAAGCTACTTAATAGTAGATCATGTATATAATCAGAGTTTTTAAAAGGAAAATATCCCCAAGGATTAATTAAATACTGGACACTCAAATTTCTGTCTTTATTTCCAGAAAGTCTGGTTAGTTATACCCTAATCCATTACCTTCTTTCCATCTACAAGGCTCTGCCTCATTCCATGTGGTATTAACTATACTCTGAATTCTGCTATAGCCCATTTCCTTCAACTGGTTTTCTTTCTTTTCTGTAGGACCATATAATTTCTCTACATAGATGCCAGAGTAATCTCTTAAGATTTCTGAGTCTGCTGGTTTCACTCTCTATATAAACATTTTAATGGCTTTTCATTGCATTAAAAAAAGGAAAATGATTACACTAGACAACAGACTACATGGTCTAGTGTCTGCCTGCTACCTAGAGCTTCATTTATTCTCTATGTTATCCACCAAGCCCTACTCAGTCTGTCTTCTTGAACATCACAAACTTTTCCCACCTTAGGACAACATCTTACCAAGGTATTCCCTCTGATCCAGATTCTTCCATGGCTGACTCTTTCTGATCCTTCCGTTTCCAACTGTTTTTCCCAAGGCTTCCATTATGGGCCAAGTTAGTAGAGCACCTTGTTCCTGTCCAACTCATTCTCAAGCTCTTCATTTCCTTTCATTTTTCATGGACCCAATTCTCATTTGAAATTATAGTTTTTCCTTAGTTACTTTCTCATTTACAGATAAAAATCTAACAAAAGGTAAAGATCTATGAGATCAGGCTACCTGGAAGAAAATAGCTTGCAAGTCTTGTTCAGTACTAGTACCCTCTCCCCAGTAGTTAGGAGTGCTTTGATCATAGTAAGTGTTCAACAGAACACACACACACACACACACACACACACACACACACAGAGTTTACTGATGAGCTGATCAGCATTTTCCTAAATGCTTTATAGGGCTTATTGTAATTTAATCCTCACCACAACTGCATTCATCAGTAACTATTATTATCTTTATTTTACAAACAAACAAAGACAGTAAGCCCGAGGAAGTTCCCAAAGTATGTAACCAATTAGGAAGTAGCAGAGCTGAGATTTGAAATCTGGCCATCTGGCCCTTAGGCCCATGTTCTTAACTGCTAAACAGTGTCTTCACATTTGTTCAACAAATTAATGAACATTTCCTGTCTTCTTCTGTTTCACATTGGAATTTAGAAAGAAAGGAGCTACCTAGTTTTTAAATGTAGAAGCCTGCCTAAACCCATGCTGAGAGATTTTCTATCCCTGAAAAAGATACTATGACTGCATGGTAGCCCGACAGGCACAAATCTGTCTTGAATTCAAATCCCTTGGGAAATTTCCTCAGACGTCCCAGAAACGCGAGATCTGTGATATGACCAAACTACAACACGGGAATATTTTTTCTTAGTTTCCCATTATTAATTAATTCAGAAGCATTTATTAAGCATTTCAGTTGCAGCAGACACATGACATTCAGAGATAAATAAGTCAAAATCCCAGCATAAACTAGTGGAACATCCACTATAATTTTGGACACACTAAACAATTTTTCCTGAATCAATCAAAACTGTGAGCGAAGATGAATTGTGCCCTGAATTGACCAACTCCATCCTTGGATGGATAATGTGACCTTGTCACATGTTGAAGCTGATCTAGGATTCAGACTTATTCAGTTTATTCTGCATCGGTGGCAATGTTTCTCCTACAGCTCTCTGCAGATGACTGTACAACAGTTGCTGCCCATTTGGAAACACTCACCAACTTCAAAATTGCCCTTTCCTCTCCCTGCTTTAATTCTTCTGTGACAAGCAACACCTCAGTACAGGTTTTTCCTCACTGGAGCAC